GTTCCAATAAATTATGCTGAAAATGCAATGAATAATAACAGCGTGGTCCATCCATGAGTTGATAAGTTGAAAGAAGTTAAAGTATACTAACTATACATTAAATAATTAGAATTACAATCACTCTTGTATTTCAAAATCGAGAGTTGTTTTGACCCCTTCCAGCTACATAACCAGACATAGATGATGCTGCCTTCCTTTTTCTTAGGTATATCATTGAGCCACTCATTATTAACATAAATATTACCACCCCCTGTCACATAATAACACCATTACTTTCTTTATCATATCTACTTTAATCATCATCTTCTCACAATCATTTATAGACAAACAAAAAATCTACAAGGAAAGATAATACAACCCTTTACAAAACTCTTTCTGCTAATTTCATTTACCATCTGAGAACTAACAAACACAGGTTAACAATCTCAAACACCACACGGATGTGGCACAGTAATACTATTTTTCATTTCAATTGTATCTTAAAAGTTTTTCCATAAACACTTCTACAAGAGAAAAAAAAGGAAACAAATTATATAAGTATCTCTAACTTAAAATTAGCTTATGTACTAATTAAAAGTAAGAATCTGGAGACTTTTTACAAATTAGCTTATGCACAAACTCATCTCAACTTTTTCTTCTTATTTTTCTCTTATGGAGAAATTTATCGAATCAGACCTTAATGATGTTGTTGAAAACAGAAAGCTTTTCCAGCAGATCAAATCAAGATAATAGTGATTTGTTTTTAGCTTGTTTCGCATATTAATGTCAACACATCACAGCAACTGACAATGACAACAAAAGTTAATCCTCTAATGTGGATATATTAGTTGAACAGAATAAACTGCACAGCATATGATTTAATTTTTCCAATGAAGAAAAGAGTGAGCTAAAAGCTTAAGATTACCTCAAAATTAAGCACTGACAACTTCTCTTCATTAACTGGGGTTATACAGCTTCTATAAGTTATGTAAGCCTGGGAACTATTATCTGAAGACGATGAGTCCTCAGCTAATCTTCTATCTGATTGTGAATGAGTATACTCTCCAGTAACATATGACACTTTCTGAGATTCTGCAGTACCATCACCAATTTCTAAAGAAGACCGACCTTTTTGAGACTTTGTTTTCTTTGCATCCTTTGTTGAATCTTTAATTTCTACACATTTGAATGGGATCCGGTACCCAGTCTCACTGCACCGATATTTGCTGTCACCCTACAACTCCCCAAGAAAAGCTTGCAGATTAAAATAAAAGAGGCTATTGAAAAACAACTGAGCAAATATCATCTAATGTAGATCACATCAAGTAATAAACACACACATAAAAAGAGGGTTTCATCTTAAATCACTTCACAAAAATTCTTATGGATTAGGAAAACTCAATATTAAGAACTTGAATCTCATTTCTTTGATGAACACGAACCCATTCATTCTCTAGCCCTTTCGCATCACATCAACATTTATGTTCAGAACCAAGGCCTTGTGAACAAGCCTGTACAAAGATATAGAATTTCCTTAAATCCGTTATGTTATTGTAATCCTAAATCAACAAATAACTTAATAGAATACATCAAAAACTGTATCCGGATCAGTATACATAGGCTATTCATATATATTGCATCAACCTTCAACCTTATTAACAACGCTCGATGATCTAGCTAGTTGCAAAATGAAATGACTACACTTATACACCGTTCAATTCTCTATCAACAAATCCAGTAATAGAGCGAATCAAATACTATACCCTAAATCCAGAAATGACAACAAATAAAATCAAATACTCAGTGTCGAACCCCTGTTTATGAGAAACTCCAGTTATGTTAGAGAAAATGCAACTAGTATAAGATCACACCCCAATTTGAGGGGGGAAAAGAGAACCTTCTCAGAGTAGAGGCAGGGAACACAGGGGCCCGAAGGAGCACATTCAAAGGTAACGTTAGTTCCTGAGGGTTTTTCTTTGAAACTCAAAAGAACTCTGCGCCCAAATCCGTTTCTATGTTGAGTTTCTTCGCTGTCCCAATCCCTGCCCAGTTCAAAAAACAAACAAAAGATTCAAACTTTAAGGGAAACTAGATCAAAGCAATTTTATGGATCACCAATCAGGAACTCAAAATGCGAACTTTATACAAAACCATAGATGTCGAGAAAGAGGGGAAGAAATTGGAGCTTACGTTTGTTGCGCTAATGCGGGAAAGGGAGAAATGACGAAGAAGAAGAAAAAGAAGAAAAAGATGGGAAGAAACAATTGGGAATTTGCAAAATTCATTGCTTCCTCTCTGTCTTTCCCCTTCTCTCTTTCCCTCAATATGAAGCCAAATCTCTTTTATTCTTTCATATTAAGCCCAAATCATTCTTAATCAGAACTTCAGTTAAGTATTTACTTAAATTATGCTTTTATTTTATTTTATTTTATTTGTTGATTATCACTACACATACAAATAAACTGGATATAGATTATTTTAGTTCAATTACTCTCTCTAATATGTTTTTTATAATACTCAGTTAACTGGCTCATCATAATTAACAAAATTATGTTTATATTAATATTTTTTTCTAATACAACCTTTAATATGAATGAGACATATTTTTATTCATTTTTAAAATTTTCTTAATACCCCTCATTTTTAATATATTTGTTATGTTAAATTTTACTGGTTATTATGCATGTAAGTTAAATTTCCAAAATGCATTAAGATACCTTATTATGTGTTGAATCTTATGAAAAAAAGATCAAGCATAATGTTTAATTTGCCTTTGGAATAAAGAGCAAAATGAATAATAAATTTGAATGAAAACTTTACCACCTATAATTTCTTAGCAGAATTTTTTACTTGAGAGAGAAGTTTAGTGATTCTGGAAGAGTTACCAAGGTTCCCACAGAAATATCTCAGTACATTCACAGCTTTGTCTGGGAACTGTTTACAGCTTTGCTCAATTTGAATACACAAATCTCAATTAAAAATTTTAAATAATTCATAATAATGTAATATTTTGCTTTATATTTTAGAAATTATTGTGCTGGATAGAATGCAAGAGAACTTCATAATAATAATAATAATAATGTAGTGATATAATGAAGTGAGAGTTAAGAATGAAAAGCATATATGTCGTGGGAAAACTTTGGAATCAACAATATCTGAAGGTGATAGAAGAAACTTGTGGGGTGTAGAAAGAAAACTTCTAAACCCACATGAAACATACAACTTTATATCAGCATATGGGTATTGTGTGTGTGCAAATTGAAACTCCTTTTCAATTGGGCCAAAATAATAAGCTCGCCTAAAAAACAAGTGTTACTTATAGCTAAGAGTGTTAAGAAAACTATTTTAAACTGGAATATTAAAAAGGTGAACGAAATTGGAATACAAAAAGCTTAACAAATTTACCAAATCCAGACTGTACTATAAATTA